GTCATGAATTCGTGTTGCTTCTTCGAAGGTGACCATCTCAGAGTATGATCTTAGGGTGTTTCTTGAGTCTAGATACAATTTGTTGAAGGATAGCTAGGTTGTAGTTTTGGAGCTATTGGTTGATTATAACTTTTGATTCATTTGATATTTTAATATAAGTCTAGTTTTCGTTTAAAGAAACCTATAAGCATATAGTCCAGCTTTGTAAGAATGGGTATAATACTAACAAGTAAGCTTTTGAAAAAACTCCTAGAATTGAATTACCATTTTTTGGCCAAATGAAACTTACTTATTATTAATAAAGTTCAAAAAACAGATAATATCACCATATCAAAGGTTAACTAGGCTGTGACTCAGAGCCAAAGTCACTGTTAATAGCAGCCCAACTCGCTAACCTCGCAATATGGTAGACCTCATTAACAACTATGATGCACCTGCTACCAGAATGGAAAACATAAAAACTCATACAGTTTAGAAAATAAAGACATAGAAAAATGATAATCTCCAGTTTTTCCAGCTACTGGTAAGGAGACAACGGTTTGATCAGCCCCGACCCGCCAAGGGTTCCCCACTTAAGCCGTAGACAACACCGACTACTGGCGGTGCTTTCCAGCCAGCACCGCCATTTGCAAGTTTTTTGGGTTCACTTTATCCACTTCCATGCTTGCTTGAGATCCCTCCTCGCTAACCAGTTCAATGACCCCACACTTCCTTATATTAGCTCTTTCTGGGTAGTATGGTAGTACCCTCTATTCTAAAAATCGTTCTAGGCGCCCGACTAGTCCCCGCCTAGGCGCTAGGCAGTGGTCGGGCGCCTCGATTTTCGTCTAGGCGCTCCGACTAATTGGTTTGCCATCTAGGTGAATTAGTCGGCGCCTAGTTGCCCGCCTAGAGTGCCTAATCGGCCGCCTAGGCCGTCTAGATTCGCCGAACATTACTTCACTTTTTAATTTTAATTTTCTAAGCGATATACGTACTTTAGCATTAGCCATGGATATAATGAAATGAAGTTGTAAATTAAGATAAAACTATATAGTTTGTATATATACCTAAATTTTATCATTATTTATACTTATAACATAATGAAATTAAGTGATTAGTTATCATATACTACATATGATTAAATGTGATAATTCTATCATTCATGTTTGTTAATGTATATGTATATATGTATTTTATACGCACAAAAATACAATATTACTTATCATATTTATGCAAAAATATAGATAACAATGCAATTTCTATGTTTCTGACTAGTCCCCGACTAGGCGCCCGCCTAGCCGCCTAGGCGCTGGGCTGACGCCCGACTAGCTTTCATGCTTAATTGAAGCTCTGTCGGGGTCGCCCCATCATCTATTTTGTCCCCTGGTCTGTTGTTGCAAGGTATCAACCACATGTTACCTGGATGCACTATTCTAAAAATCGGCATAATCGGCCGCCTAGACGCCCCTCAACCGCCCGACTAGTGCCTATCGTGTTTTAGAACAATGCCTAGATGTGTACTACCCTGCCTCGTATCGGCCCGTAGCCATGGTCCATACAGTTTCTCACCACTCCATGGCCTGCTGTGTGGATTGGAAGGACATAAGCGACATGCATGACCATATCCATTTATCTCCCCATCCACTGCCAGACCTGCAAGCGCCTAATCAGAGCCATATTAAAATTGATAGTAACTCTAATACGCAAAACCAATCTTTGCTTTCCACCAAGAGAGCCTTTGTTTCCTTGCACAAACGATCCAATACTATGGGCTAACCCTTGGATTGCCCTTGTCGTCATGTATCCTAGCGGTAAGTTGTGCACCTAAACCTAGAAATAAGCATGGTCCATTGGAATTTTAAGAAGTGTGTCAGTACGCCCCACACTCCTGACCACCACTAAATTAGGTTCAAAGGACCAGGGCCCTACCTCAATGACTCTACTAAGATCTCCTTCATGAAAATCTGCAACATGAATTTGGAATCCTTGATCTCATCAATTGAAATTCCCCGAACTGGTCACTAAACCATAGCCATTGTTTGACAGAACAAAATAGCTCGAATGAGTTTTGTGAAACCACTCCGGCCACAGCCAGAGAGGGGCTCCCTCAACCGCCACATCATCACTCCCATTCTCTTCCTTAACGATGGATATCATACTATAATTCTTGGTAATCATGTCCATATTGACAAAACTTGAAAATAACCAAAAACAGAACTACACCAATCCAAACGGCACACACATAATCAACAATACAAAGACAACAAAAAACAAAGCTCCGAACCAATACCAACTCAACGACGGAGAAGCACCCCAACTGTCAATCCAAAATAGAACAACAACCATATATCGACCTCATGTGCCGGAGCAGAACACTCAGGACAAAGTCCAGAAATCAAAAACATAAAAAGAGATCAACTAATGGAGTACCAAAGGAGAAGACATGCGCACGTGAGTCACCATGCTTTCCGATTCAAACCCGACCTTGGCCGCCGCTCAAGATCATCGCTGACGCTTAGGGATTTTATCTCCATCCTACACAGTCCCCCCTAATTGACCGAAGGGTTGTTTTAGAGATCGTTGTATGCATGTACTCATGATTTAGGCATCCTTTCTTTCTAAAAAAAAGGATGACACCCCATCCCTGAGGGCCCCCCAACACCGACCGGACGACACGATGACGACACGATGGGAGGATGTAACTTGGACTATAATCACAATCTGACAGATAGAGAGTGAGGCTCCGTCCCCGGTACTTGCAGAGGCCCTATGCATTTTTAGCATAGTAACCTCTCATCGCACTTGCCAGGATTCGAACCCGGGACCTAACCCTTGTGGCACTCCCTCGCTACCAGTTGAGCTACGCCCACCGGTGGCATCCTTGCTTTCTATATTACACACAATATTAGTTCTACACATCTACCCGATTCCGAACCGATAATTACGGATTAACTTTTTTTTGGGACAATTTTTTTTCATTTGCACAAATTATATTTATTCTTACACATATATGTATGCAAAACAATAATTTAAAACCCCCAAACATGATATCATATTTTATGTAAAATAAGAACAATGGTTGATAATCTAAATTTTAACTAACATATTTTGGCATCACTAGAATTTAAAATGATAAATAATTGTCATACTTAGTAGTATTTCTCAAATATGATAATAGTTAGAGGTTTTAATTGTCATACACTTTACTAAAATAAAATATATTTATAAAATGGCTAAATTTACTATAAATAGTAGGAAAAATTGATAGTAATAATCCCAACTATTGGCGGTCCGCCTATAATAATCCCAACAATCGATTATTTCAGAATAATCCCAACTTTACGGACCTTCCGCCAATAATGGTCCCTAAAATAAATTGTTGTAATTTCTAAAGTGGATGAAAAGAGATATAACAAGTAATCCTTATAAATAATCCCAAGTTTTAATTTTTACGCTTAATTTCTATTTAAAATTCACTTTTTATAGGAGGTAATATTTGGTCATAGACCATTATTGGCGGACGGTCCATATAGTTGGGATTATACAAAAATAATCAATAGTTGGGATTATTATCGGCGGACCGGCAATAGTTGGGAATATTATTTTCAATTTTTCCTAAATAGTATCATGGCCCTTAAAATATATAGATTTAACATAAATTATAAGTTACTAATATAACTACTACACTTAAGATGTTACTAATATAATTACTAAACTAAGATGTTCTATAATATAAATTACATTTTAGTCATAAATTTGAAATTATTTCTAATAAGTAATTCTACTTAAAAATGAACATTTAAGATATTTTCTCTGGAATGACACTTATTTTATAGAGAAAATAATTCTGAATAATACAAACTATCTTGCAGTAACAAATATGTAAATAACAATTTTAATAATATGTACTTAAAATATATTTTAATAATCCTAACTATTTGAGTACATAACAAAGTAACAAACTTACAAAATTGATATAGATCATATTTTTTTACTAAACGTTCATTCAATTAACTAATTAAAAACTCATATCAAAATATCAAATAAATTATGCTATTGTCAAATATCATTTATTTAATGATTTGACATCACTTTTTGATGTCTTAAGTGATTGAATTTCTCATGGATAAGTTCTTATATATATATGTTTTGAATATATATTATTTGTGTTATATATTTAAATAGTAGATATTATTAGAAATCATTTCTAATGTATGTATAATTATCACAATTTACATTCCATTATCATAATTTAAGTCCCTCCTTAAAAAATATGTACTCCGTATAATATGGATAGAAAAGTTATCGAAATAGGATTAAAATAGTTTGAAAATTCCAAAAATATGACTGACATGTTTTTTATTCCGAAAATAAGAGTAATTACTGCCAAATTTGAAAAATATTATCATATTTGAAGTCTGATATGCCAAAACATGACAGTAATTAGTTCTATTTTAAGAATAAAAAATATGACAATCCTATTTTAAAATTTTAAAACTTTTTTAATCTTATTTCACATCATAATGTTCTAGATGTTGATTTATACAATTGTTTTTCTTTGGCTAAAGGGTCAAATAGGTACATGAACTAACTTAAAGTGTTCAATTAGCCCCTTATATAGGAGCTTCTGCCCGGCCGTCGCCAATTGGGACGGTTCCCGGTGGAATTTTTTGATGAAATTTTTTGAGCATCTTCTTCATTAAGTCTAGTTTACCCATACCAAGTTTCAGATAAAAATTCAACCGGGAAGGCAGTGAAATGATTTTTTGAAGATAACTGCGCAGTTAAACAACGCAGTACATTTCGGAAAATCATTTGACTGTCTTCCCGATTTAATTTTTAGCTGAAATTTGATATGGGTAAACTAGACTTAATGAAGAAGATGCTCAAAAAATTTCATCAAAAAATTCCACCGGGAACCGCCCCAATTGGCGACGGCCGGGCAGAACCTCCTATATAAGGGGCTAATTGAACACTTTAAGTTAGTTCATGTACCTTTTTCTTTTATTCGTGCTGTTCACAAGAAGCGGGAAACATTCAGCCCAAAACAGACAGATGAGTCACGAATCATCCCAGACCGGAACCTCAAGTCGAATCGTCGTTGGCACACCTGAATCGATTTTTGTTTTCATCATTCTTAATCCTTGTTTTCGACTTCATCCGCCGTACCACAATCTCCACATATTTCGTTTTTCTGTCTGTGCATCCCCCTCTTTAATCCATAGTATTCTATAATTTCTGGTAAATCGGTAATTAGCATCACAATCACATATTGCGGGGAAGAAAGGAGCATAATTTATGGTTAATTGAAATGGGGAGCTACAATAATTACAAAATGTTTGGTTGCTTCAACCGGAAATTCAAGATTAGCGAGACGGAGCCTCCGCCGGACGTGAAGAATGTATTTTCGCGGTACACGGAGAATGGTCCCCACATGAACGCCGATCAGATGACCAGGTTTCTGGTCCAGTTTCAGGGGGAGGAGGGGTGCACCGCCGCCGATGCGGCTCAACTCATACAACATATTCACAACCGCCGCCGCCATTTGTCTAAGCATATCCACCACAGTTCCCCGGCCCGCTCTCTTGATATCGACGATTTCTTTGACTTTCTCTTTCAAGATGATCTCAATGGACCTCTCAAACCTCAGGTTCCCGTTTTACTCTTAAAATTACGGTGGGGAGTTTTACATTCTTAGGGCCTGTTTGGTAAGACAAACCTAGCTTAAATGGCTGAAAGTTCTGAATTTTTCAAGTGTTGTGTAACGTCCATTTCAACCAAATATAAGCAAGTCAAAACCATGTAAAACACACAGAAAATATAGATAAGGCTACATAACAGAGCCTTGTAAAGAATGCTATCTGCATTGAAAATGTTTACTATTTGAGGTGTATGCTACCTGGCTACCTGCCTACCTGTATTTGAGGTGTTCTTTATGATGTCAGAGTGGCAATAGGAATGGTGAGATCCTAGGGCTAAAAAAGATGTTAAAATGTTCCCATTTCAGGATTGATTAACATTAGTACCTTTTGTTATCTAGAAAATGAAGTTTCTCCAAAAACAGAAATAGAATTTATGTTATATAAGGAAAAATATAATACAAAGTAATAAGTACTAGAGTGATTATCTAGCGAAAGCAAGTGAGATAAGTAAGCCCTTGCCAGAAACTAAAGGTATGTTGGTCTAGATGGGAACATGAGATCAGCTGAATTATCCCATATTTACTATAATGACATTTAAAAGACATAATCTTTGTGATAGATGATATGATATCATCATATGTTAGATTAGATGCTTTAAGTTCATCTCATGCAATTCCACCTGTTTTACTTCACTCGATTTGCTGTAATTGCAAGTTGTGTAATCAAGATATGTTTGGGATTGAGACTACCGTTTCATGGTTCCAATTATTGTTTTTCGCTCTGAAATGAATTGGTTGTAATCCGGAATCCAGGTATGGCATGATATGAGTGCCCCCTTGCAACATTATTTCATATATACGGGTCACAACTCCTACCTGACAGGGAATCAACTCAGCAGTCAATGTAGTGAAATCCCTATTATTAGAGCTCTTGAAAGAGGCGTTAGGGGTATAGAATTGGACTTGTGGCCAAATTCCACTAGAGACAATATTCACGTTCTTCACGGAAGGTATTCTGCCATGAGAAGCCCAATTCTTACTCCCTCTGTCCCAATTTAATCGACGTTCTAGAAAAGTGCATACGTTAATGAACATTATAAAAATCAAATGCATCTTACTTCTGGTTGAGGCATAAAAGCATTTAATATGTAAAAAGTCGGCAAGGACAAATTTCTTTGGGAGATTAGAATAAAGTATGCCTTGAATTCCTATAACAACAATTATTTCAGTATTGTCTAAAACAATAAATAATTTGGGATAGAGGGAGTGTTATTATTCTTTCAATTTCATTATTAATTCCCACTACTTTGCATTTATGCATGGTTGAGGTTGATCTGTATTCTAATTTTGGTTGCCTAGTAATCATTAACTTGATTGAGCTCTTATGTTGTCAGCTTTGGAGATTTTCAGGACCTTAACAACTCCAGTGACTCTCATCAAATGTTTGAAATCTATCAAAAAACATGCTTTTGTGAAATCTCCTTATCCTGTTATCATTACTTTGGAAGATCACTTGACACCTGAACTGCAAGCTACAGCAGCAGAGGTTAGACTTTGTTAACTACACGACTAAGAGGACTTATTATAATATTATCACCATTAATTGCAATTCTATATAATATGTTATAATTCATTCAAGGCTTTATCAGTCCATATATTTATTTTATAGTTAAATTTGGAAGTTAATCTATTATATTGTGATTGCTATGTCTGTATGTTTCTGGTGTGTGGTATTTTTACACCTGTTAAATATCTTGCATTAGATGCTTACTAATATGTGTATATTTCTGGTGTGTAGTATGATATAATGATATATGACTCTGGGGCTTGTTTATATGTTTGTTTGACACCCGTGATTTGGGTAGACCTTTTTGGCCTGACGGACACATTAACTGTCACACATTGAATGTTTACCGGATTCATATTTATTTAATATATAAGTGAAAAAAAACCTCACCTCTTGAAAATCCTCTTTTGGGGTACTCAGGGTTAATTTAGCTACATCAATAAACATGTTTTTCTTTTTGCTTTCATGTTTGTAGATGCTGACTCAAGTGTTTGGGGATATGCTTTACTTCCCCGAGCCAGGATGCTTGGGAGAATTGCCTTCGCCCAAAGAGTTAAAGCACCGTGTTGTTCTTTCTACTAAACCACCCAAAGAGTACCTTGAGTCAAGGCATCTCAGTAATGAGAGAGAAAATGTATCCCCAATATGGAAATATTCATCTGAAAATGACTACTCTATGAAAGAGGAGTCAGGAAGTGAATCCAATGGGGTAAAGTAAGACTATGATTTCCCCCCTTTTTAACCATCGGAATGGGCTTATTCTCCAATGTTTGTTTGGTTATCAGGTCTGTTCTGATCCAGATGAAGATTATTGCGAAGCCGCCACATGCCAATCAGATCCTTCGAGGAAAGAGATATCTGGAAATACAGATGAACAACAAGTTAGTGATGTGGTAAAGTTCGATTTGAGTCATCATTTCATGTTTTAGTAATTTACATGCATATGTGCTCATTCTCGGTGGGTTTGAGATGGCTTACTCTTAAAAAAGTAAGTGATTCAAAGGAAGGACAGTACTTTGACTTTAAAAGAACCGTTAATAAGACAACACCACTTTAACTGTAACGGAACACAGTTATGAATGCAGAATGCAGCAGGTTGACGTTCTAGAAAAAACACTTAAGTGCTTATACGAGAACTCTCACGATGAAAGCCTATATACCATAAGCAGGGTGTCTATTAGGCGTGCTAAAACACTTGGGCTTCCCAATTCAGAAGGCCTAATTTTTTATAATATAGTATAGTATATACTACGTACTCGTATAATATACACAAGTTATATTTATTATATACATACAAAATGTTTTAGTGATTTATTTTGGTAAAAGTTGAGTATTGGAATTCAAAAGAATGAAAGATATTTCTACATAACATTGTGCATAGCCTTTGACTTTTACTTCACACGGCCCAACTTTTTTTAATTAGCACACTGCTAACTTTTTTAATTAGCACACTGCTAAAGTTTTTAATTAGCACAAGGCCTCATAAAAATTAAAACAGCCCTGAGTCCATAATTTATCACAAACAGACCCCAATCTTCTTTTGAATAATAGATGAAGAGTGACCTAGATGGAAAAGGCTCTACAGCTACGGTTCGGTCAGGAGCACCTGAGTACAAGCATTTGATCGCTATACGTGCGGGAAAGGCAAAGGAAGGCTTGAAGCATGCATTGACAACTCTACAAGAGAAAGTGAAGCGCCTTAGCGTGAATGAGCAAGAACTTGAAAAGGCTACTGGGTTGTATGGAACTGACGTTGTCAGGTAGTTTAAGATTAATCTGTTCCTTTCAAAAAAAAAAGATTAATCTGTTTGTCACTTACAAACTGTTAAAACTTAAGAGTAAGAACAATCCTTTTGTCACTTACAAACTGTTAAGCAGCTGTATCTTAATTGGATTAACACTAGGTAATCGATTGTATTAAATCTTATTGTGGTTTTACCCATGCACATTATTGCCTGGTTGATTGGCTCCATCCCTATTATGTAAAATAGAAACTATTCTTGCTTGATTATCCACATAATATATCTTCCCTATTAGAGAGAATGATGATGGGTTGATAAGACCTTGGGTTGAACTAGCTAATAGAGCGAATTTAATCTTTTACTGTTGTTTGACCCACGTGTCTTATAAGCTAATCGAGTGACCTAGCCCAATCCTAAAATTTATCAATTATATAATACTAATACTTTTTTTTTTTGCGAAGATATAATACTAATACTACTACTACTACTACTAATAATAATAATAACAATAATAAGGAACTCCCACTGGGCTCATCATATGCTTCATTATTGGTTTATTTTTCTAATTTCTCTTAATAAGCTCCTAATAACAGTTTCACGCAAAAAAATATTTTGAGGGTGTATCCAAAAGGTATGCGGGTGACATCATCAAACTTTAACCCGATGCTTGGGTGGATCCATGGAGCTCAGATGGTTGCCTTCAATATGCAGGTGAGTCACTGTGGGCATGTAATACTGCCATGTATGCTTTTTACTTCAAGCTGTTTGGGACATACACTGTCGCAAGTTAAGGTGCAAATTTTGATTTCAGGGATATGGAAAGTCACTGTGGTTAATGCATGGGATGTTTCGATCTAATGGAGGTTGTGGCTATGTGAAGAAGCCTCAGTTTCTTTTGGAAAGACATCCAAATGGCGAGGTTTTTGATCCTAAAGTTACATTACCAGTGAAGTTGACATTAAAGGCAAGAATTTTTTGAGCCCGATTGGTTAGGATTAATAATAGTTGAGTTGTACATATTTTAATAAAACAAATTAACTGGATTACAATCTAATTATGATGTAAAAAGTGTTTATTTGTCTTCATTTCAGACATATAGGGTCCGTTTGATGAGATTTATTTGGCTGATATGGCTGAATCTATTGAATTTCTTTATTGGAAAACCATTTGGTAGAGTCCATTTTCGCCAGTTAGTAAAAAGCTACCTTATTGTTTATTATGCTGATAATCTGATATGTAGAATCCAGAACTGTTAACAAAACAAGGGCTTAATCTAGAAAAGTGACTTCCACCCAATTTTAATAATTATATGCAGTCACACAGTTAATCTTTGGCAGAAAGTTGCAAAAAAGAAGGTTAACAAAACGGGCAATGCCAGGAAAAATAAGTTGGTAAAAAGGATTATTTATGCCTTAACAAACCAACATTGTATGATATGCTGTTGCTGTTAGTTGTGCAGGTGAATGTTTATTTAGGGGATGGATGGAGGCTGGATTTTAGTCATACACATTTTGATTCCTACTCACCGCCAGACTTCTATACGAAGGTAATTAGGTCTAGAGGAGAACCCTCTCTTTCTCATTTTCTGATATCCCATTTCAAACCCGTTTGATAAGGGATTATTTAGCTGAAATAATTGAATGTGCTACTTTTCTAAAAGAAAAAGAATTTTCTATATCCATTCCTGCCAAACAAGCAACTGAAAAGCTACTTATTCTAACAATAAACATAATAAACTTGAAAGTAAGCTACCAAACGGGAGCATAGTGCAGTCCCCATCAGAAAATTAATGAACCTTTCATCCAAGCCAAACCATGCATAATAATAGTTCAAGATTGGCTTGGGGTCAGGGTCACTCAACTAGGTCTTAACTCTTAAGTCAAAATGACACTAAAAGATTGAATCCAATTTGTTAGCTAGTTATACTCAAGGTCTTATTGACCTTCTTTAGTTTTGATGTAGGATTCTAACAGAATATATACTTGTTTAACATACATGGGATGGCAGGTATATATAATTGGAGTGGGGGCGGATAGTGGGAAGAGAAAGACGAGAATCATAGAGGATGAGTGGGTGCCCAAGTGGGGAGAAGAGTTTGAGTTCCCGTTGACGGTTCCAGAGCTGGCATTGCTTAGGATCGAAGTACGAGAGTATGACATGTCAGAGAAAGATGACTTTGGGGGCCAGACTTGTCTCCCTGTCTCTGAACTGCGGCCTGGAATCCGTTCTGTTTCTCTGCATGATAAAAAGGGAGAGAAACTCAAATCTGTTAGGCTGCTCATGCGCTTTCAGTTCATGTTGTCTTGAACAGTTGTAAACAAATGGGAAGATCTTTTTCTAGAGTTGTATTTTCTTCTGTAAAGAACTTTTGTGATGCAATCTCAGAGTAAGAGAAGTTAGGCATGAATGTAGAGTACAGGGGTAATAATAGTCTCTACTTTTCTTCCCTTGAAAGCTAAACGAGTTTGAGAATGTATCATTTTACTACGCGAGCCAGACGGCCAGACCAAAAAAGTCCTTACGCATATTTACTCAAATTGTGGTTTAATTAGCTATGAATACACAGAGACCCATACACCCCATGTTAGTGTAAACCTAAATGTTTTTTGTGTGGGGGATTTGACTTTACACTCCATTTTTTGGGTGATATTGGACTTTGCATCCCATTTAAAAAAACCTGTGACTTTGCACCCTATCATATTACATTTGCGAAGGAAAATTTCTAAATGGGGTGCAAAGTCCAATATTATCCAAAAAGTGGGATGCAAAGTCAAATTCTACTTTTTTTGAATTATCAATTGGTTTACACATACATGTCAGTTTTTAGGGCAAATTGGTAATTGAGACAATACTTGGGTTGAATATTTCATATGTAGGTGAAATAAACATTAATTTCGTTGAGACCTAGATGATTTTTGGTTTGAAATATGTGTAAATATTATACATATTTTACATTTTTAGTTTTATGAATATAAATAATGTTGGAGTATTACACAGGACTGGGTCTGGAAAATCGAAAACAGAAAACCGAATCAAAATAAACAGAACTGCGACCAAACTAAATCGAACCGCAAAATAGAAAAACGAAACCGAATGTAAAAAATTGAATTGAACCGTAGTTTTTTTTGGAACGAAACCCTAAACCCTAAACCCTAAACCCCTAAACCCTAAACCCGTAACGCTAAACCCTAAATGAGAGAAAGACGGATTTACGGGACTTTTTCGTTCTTGTTCCAAAATTACGAAGATGCTTTTTTAAGGACAAAAACACGGGAGTCGGAGTTGTGAAATCTGACCTTGAGGAGGGGTTTGTTTCCTCTCTCCACTTACTATCTTATCAAAAAGTTCACATGAAATAATGCATACTATCTGTTAGATCCCAAAATTTGATGATTAATATATATAGTTTTTATGATGCCACATCCCTTTTTCATTATACCTATATTAGACTAGATTCTCTTGCACTTGTTATACTTTGTTTATTGTAATGTGCTACTGATAAAGTACTCAAGAAAAACAAAGAGTACCGAAAAGAGAAGAAACATACCAAAAACAAAAAGAAAAAAATCAAAAAGAAAAAGTACGAAAAGAGTCAACTGGAAACCATTTCGGCAGCCATCTGGAAAAACATATGGAGTAGCCTACTGAAAAGTTTTCAGCTGGCTCCTACCTCAGTTTCCCAGGAAAGGCAACTAAAATTGGCTAACTCTTCTCTTAGCACAAAAACAATTAAACAAAAGACCAATTTGCAGTCAAAATGACAAAACGATAGAAAGTAATTTTATAAGAATTTTGTATCACATCATTTCTTATAAATTTATTTTTATATCATGATATTGGAATTTATATTTCGATCTTGAAGTTATCGATTTTTAAAATAGCAACCTACCATATTTTAAAATACCACGCATTTTGTTCATAATGATAGGATGTACATAACAATTTTTAAATGTTGAGGCTATTAATTGGCTCCACCTTTGGATGTAACCTGTGCTGGTCCCCATAAATCTGAGTGAATGTAATGAAGTGGCCCTTTTGTTACCGGGTTTTGCTAGAGGTACACGTTTTGGGTACACGTTTTGTGTACACATGTCTGTCCTTCACAGATAAATTGTCTGTGACAGACAATTTGTCTGTGACAGACAATTTGTCTGTGAAGGACAGACATGTGTACACAAAACGTGTACACAAAACGTGTACCTAAAGCATTTTTCTTTGTTGTATGCTTGCCAATGATAAAACTCACACGCTTCTTCTTGCCGTATACACAATCTTCACATGATTCAAGTTCAGTTGATTTATGCTCTACGACTAATTAGCTCACACATACCTTGGTAGGACATGTGGCCAAGTCTGAGATGCCATCAATGTCGGAGAGGGATTTAGAACAAAAAGCAACGTCGCCAGAAATTACCTGTCCATCCATAATATAGAGATTCACATGTCTCCTAACTCCTCGGGTGACTGCAGAGCTATCTTTGAAAATATGGATCTTCCCGTCTTTGCCAACAAACTCGTAACCTTTCTTTTCAAACGGATAACAGCTTGCCATTGGAGCCGGTTTCGGCTATATCCGCTTTAACGGCTGGTTTATTATTTGCTTTCTCCTTCTCCTTATTTTTCAACTTGAAACCAGGCCCGTGCCTTAGGTTAGGCTGGAGAGGCCCAAGCGCCCCAAAAAATTGGAAAAATTAGGGGCCCATAATTTTGTAAACATTACTATTATTATACCTATGTAATTTCCAAGGCCGTCGCCATTTGGGGCGGTTCTCGGTGTAATTTTTTGATGAAATTTTTTGTGTATCTTCTTCATTAAGTCTAATTTACCCGTACCAAATTTCAGTAAAAAATTCAATCGGGAAGGCAGTCAAATGAATTTTTGAAGATAACTGCGCAGTTAAACAGCACAGTATATTTCAGAAAATCATTTGACTGTCTTATTGGTTGAATTTTTTGCTGAAATTTGGTACGAGTAAATTAGACGTAATGAAAAAGTAATATTATGGAAGATTAGTCATTCATGATATATGATCAAAATAATAGTAGCGAGTACAAATATGATTTAAAAACTTTTAATGATTAGGATTTTGTTCAGTTTACATCATAGTGACGATACAAATAAATATATATAGAGTTAACAAAATTATACTCAACAAATTTTTTTGTTGGTTGTTTTGTGAATTTTGACAAGTAAATTTGGTAGCTTTAGTTGATGATTTGATAAATAAATAATTAGAAGATAACATAATAATGTCACCAAGGAATTGTTGGAGGTAATGAGAACTCGTAATCTAAAATCTTATAAAGACCAATGAGGGTTAGGGTCTTTTAGGTATTAAAAATGTGTTGGTGTAACTCTATAGCATTATTATATTGTAAGTTCTGCTCAAGGTGTTGTACGTTAATGTTTACTCCCACCTATCTCCGTAGCTTCCGTTAATTGAAACTTCCATTAATTATAACTTCCGTTAAGAAGAGGAAGAAATACCCAACGTTGTCAAGTGGTCGATTACTTCCACAAGTAGTTAATGACTTTAGAAGTTGTATATGGAGTATATAGAAGTTGTCAAGTGGTCTGATTGGCGCGGCATTGTAAAAACAGCTATGGTGGGTACTCCTAACTCAGGCCATATCGCTACTGTAGCCTTTAGGGATAAAAGAGATTGACTATGAACACTAATTAATCAGGTTGGGTTACCATATTTGCTCTTGCCCAACCATTCTTCGATGCCAAGCCATAGTTTGCTTTATTAAAATTGAATATATATAGACTTACAGATAAGAAAAATATAAAAATAATTTCGATGGGAAAGAGACTGATCAAATTTTACATTTTTTTTACATATATACAAATGTAAAACTGTAAAAGAGTTGGTTTAGACTTTAGAGCTACCAACTATTTGTTGGTTTCCATTGTTATATGGTGCACCAATACTTCACCCTAATGGCGTATCGGATACCGATACTCATCAATACGCGTCGTGTACGTATTGAGTCCGTATCCGTAATTTAATAAAAGTATCAGGCTTAATTTTAAAAATACCGATACTTCCAATACTCGTATATGTGAACCGATACACGTACCTAACCCTATAAAATTAAACCCTCATCTCATACACGACTTAATGAAAGTTTAGTAACCGCTCAAGCGACCACAAGATGTGGAACATTTATAAAGATGGTTTCGAGACAATGAAAAATAATGAAATACTATAATTTGTCATTTTATTGCTTGATGAGATTTAATTAAAACAAGACTTAGATGTATATCTAAATTGAAACAATACCATAATTTGTCATTTTATCGCTTCAGCTTGGTTTCTGCGGCTTTGAGACTGAAACCGATTCTCAGGTGATTTTGGAGTTGCTCGGTGATACTACCTGGAACGGGAGGTGGGGGTCGTTGTTGGCAGATCTAAGGCGGTGGTCGGTTGACTTTCCGGTATCTTTCAGACATATTTATCGTGAGGCTAATTGGGCTGTCCACTTTATGGCAAGCTACTTTCCTGATGGGGATGAAGTTATCTCCTACTTTCGGCCCATTGAGCTTCCTGTTTTGGTTCGTAGGTCCATCTTGGCGGATGAATTACAACTTTCTTATATTAGGCGTTACTAATTCTTTGTTTCGGCCCATAGTTATTTTGTTGTAACTATGGGCAAGGTTTGGTCCCCCATGGTTTTTTCTACTTTCCGTATTTCTTTTACTTTCGTCTCATGTATTGTGGAAGATATGCTTGTGGAAGATATGCCTTCCGGAGAGGTGTCTAATCCCCCTCTCCATTTGTATTCGTTCTTTTTCTCATCAATAAAACTCGACAAGTGTTTCCCGGCATTTGCCCCACTGATTTTGGTGGTTTGCCTTCCGGGTTAAAAAAAATAGAGAACAAAAACATGTTACGGAGTATTTGCTACTAAGAATATCAACAATAAAATTCCAGAATTTCTTTCACCCATTTATCATTGACTGGAATTCTCTCAAGCTTTTCCCAAGTTCTCCCTCACTTCCATGTAACTCTATTCCATGTAACTCTACCCTCACTCATGAGTTTTTCCTCTATTCCATGTAACTCTACCCTTACTCATGTGATGTTCAAACAGGTGGGCAGCCTAAAATCAATTCAGTATATTCTTCACGGCTTTCTGAATCAAAGGAAAGCCAATCAATTCCTTTTCCGCTCTTATCTTATCTTAGAAAGAAGAAAATATGTTTATCTTAGAATGAAGAAAAGAGCTAAAGTCTGGAATTAGTGTTATCCTTGACAAGTAAAAATTTAAATATATTTTGAATAGGAAAGAGCTAAAGTGTACAATCACTGTAGTCCTTCGCAACTTTCTTAACATAGTAATTTCTTGCTGAGTAACATTTTTTTTTCATTTTTTCCTATTTATTTATTATCAAATATAGAAGGGAAAGTTCCCGAAATAGGATAAAAGAGTTTGAAAATTCCAAAATAGGACTGTTATGTTTTTATTCCCAAAATAGGAGTAATTATTGTCAAGTTTCGAAAATATTGTCAT